AAAAAAAAAAAAAAAAAAAGCAATTTTGGATGTTGTAAACTACGAATAATAAAATTTAGCATTTCAAGCCATTTAAATCATGTAAAAATTTTTCTTTTTCATAATCATCAAATATTTAGGTACAAGTTACCCTGTAGGAGTCAATAAAGGCAGCTCCATTAACTGCTAACTAAAGCTAATTCTAATTATTACTCCACTGCAGCACATGTACTCACCTTATGTAAATCCATTTCAGCTTTTAATTTGTTTTGTGCCCATTTTACTTTAATTATGTGAGAGTTGATATCTTCCTTCAGTTTGTCTATTTCTCTGATGAGTCTAGTCGTTTCACCTTCCTAAAATAATATCATGAGGTCATATTTTTCACTTAACACAATCTGCTAATTATCTATGCATCTTTTATATTCCCTAAAAGTAATCAGTGCATTAAACTATAATTCAAGTGCTGTATGGCCCAAAGGCCGTAAAACTGATGCAAGGTTTAAACAATAAAGGCAGTAAAATTCTAAGTGCTATTAATAATCATGAAGATAACTAATATATAACCAGGTGTGTTGCACGGACAAACATACTTTTTATGATTCTTCTTAACAAGCTAACATTAAGGTGAACTATAAACTAAATTGATTTTGCTAGAATTCCTGAAGCTAGTAATACTATTTCTCAATTAAAAGTTAACAAAAGAGCTCTGAATAGCTGTCTTAATAATAAAACTACCTAAGACAGAGTCTTACAAAGGACATGTTTATCTGAAAGAAAAAAATATATTCTACAGTATTACATTAAGATACTGACCTGATTATACTTTTATAAAATTACTTGACTCTAAAATTATTCATGCACCACACTACTATATACATGTGCTACCAAAATATAGTCTCCACTTGAAGCATAAGCTAACTTTTCCAATATATATATAGTGACATTAGATTTTAATTTCACAATAATACAAAATTAGAAGGCAGATTTTAAAGAGATGGTGAAGGGGAGCAGAGCAAGGGGGTAGGGTTAACTGGGATGAAAATAATCATTTATCAAAAACCTCATTATTCATATGTATCAATTAAAAAAGACTTCTATCAAGAAACAGTTCCCTAGCAAATTTTTTGCAGGCAGGTAATGAGATGCTGCAATTTCTGAAACATTCATGTTTTTAGAAGGTAAGCTAATAAAAGTAATTTTACATTTTAGTATTTTTAATGATGTTATTATTTAAGGAACAGCAAAAGGAATAAATTTCAAATAAGGCAGAACAGTATAAGTTATACCTTTGTTTCATACAGCTGCTGCAATCTTCCTTTCTCCTGAGAAAGTTGCTTCACTTTGTTAGTGTTTTTCTCAGATTCCTTATTTGCATCTCTAAGCTTTCTCTCAAGTACTTCTTTTTCCTTTCGAAGGTCTAAAGATTCCTTCTCACCTCTTACATACTTCATTACCATTGCTTCTTTTTCTTGGCGTGCCTCTTCACATTTTTTATTGGCCTATAAAAATATTATTTAGCATTAATAAGAAATATTTTTCAATTAAAAATAAGCATAAATATTTTCCTACACTATAACCAGTATTTTTTAAACATTCCCATGATGAGTCATAACATTTCAGGATAAAAGAAAAATTCAAAGTTATAGAAAAATGATAGCCACTGATATTTACTTTTATCTTCCCCTACTCCTTTTATATGGTTGTTACTTTCATTTATTCCTTCATATCTGCCTCTCACCATTTTCTGATTCACCTCAGGAAGAGGACCCACTGGTGGCCATATAAACAAGCATCTTTATTTTCAAATTTCCACCTGGGATTAGCCTGTAGGAGGCACTAGACAGAAGCTCAAAAATTAAGTAACATAAGATCTGTCTCTAGTCACTAGCAGTTGGGAGAAGGCCACTGCTCCTGTCTGATGGCCTTTTATTCTCACTGACTTCACCCGCTTTTAGAACACTAGCATTGTAACCTAAATAAACTACTTTTCTTTCCAGAATGCCTAGACTCAAGTATTTGCTATAACACACAATAGGCTAATAAAAAGATACATAAGGATGTATGGCTTCCATAACGAATAATAAAATTTAGCATTTCAAGCCATTTAAATAATATCCAAAGATTATCAGTTCCATTGATTTGAAGTTATTTAATATGCTAATTCAAAATTGTTGTTGTAAGTAGTACCATTAAGACTATCTTTGAAAAAATAAAATAAAAAAGACTATTTTTGGAAACTGATATATTTTCATAACATTCTCTTCTGTTTAAGTCACATTTTGGAGTTGTTTTACTTCATATTTTATCAACTGTAGATTTTTACTACCTTAATACCAGCCCAGTTACTATTTATATTTATGGTATCAGTTATTAGCTTTTATAATTATAAATTACTTTTTGTTATGGTAGTCTTTATTAAAATATTTGTTAGCAAAATATCAATGGAATTACATATATAACAACAGATCAGCTTTCAGATATGCTAGGCATGCATGTAATATAGCACTGCAGGAGGCCATGGTAGGAGAGCCCAAGTTTGAGTCTAGCTAGAACAATTTAGCAAGATCCTGGCTCAAAATAAAGAAATTGGCTGGAAATAGAGGTCAGTGTGATGGCCGTGGGTTCAATCCCAGCACCACACACACACACACACACACGCTGAAAGAATGTTTCATATTTATAAATAAGAATTTATATCTCTCAAATTTCAAGTTTATTTTCAATTTTGATAACTTACAAATTACTCCCCCTTCCCTGCAAATTTTGCAAACCAAAAAAAGGTCAAAGAACAAAGCAAAAAAAAAAAAAAAAAAA